GGGGCATAGTGCAGCTGCCTAGCTGACAGGCTATCTGCCCACAAGAGAGCCCGAGACACAGTTCCTGAGAGATCTGAACCACAATCCGTCAAGTTTCTAATAATGGTTACCATAATTTCCAGCATGTTCTTTTATCTTATTCTCCTTCCATCCCAACTTTCCCACTGGTAACCATTACCTACTTGATTCATACTTTTACTATATAGCAAAGAACAAAAGAAGTTTTCTAAATAGTCACACTTACAGGCAAAACAGTGTGCCAGGTTGTCAGCATTTCTGGCTAAAGCATCATGAGAAGTGAAAGAGAATTTTGTGTCTAGTGGTTAATGTTTACATCTAGTGAAATCTAAGTTCTCACAATAACTCACAGTTGAAGCTGAATCAGTTCATTCTACATTCTGTGCTAATCTATCTCCGATGGTGAATATCCCAGGTTATTCCATCATCCTGTAAGGAACATAACTGAAAAGCTTATTCTTCATAGTTGGCATTGCTTATCTCTTGTTCTCTTGTCTCTTGCTTCTCAGCTTCCTTTAGTATTGGCACAGCTGTTAGAAATGAGGGTGCTATGGCTTTCTATGAGTCTGCTTCTTTCCTAATTCCTACACTGTTCCCATTAACTCTCGATACCATCTACTTATTAGCTTTTCTCCAAGACAGTTGTGCTTAAAATCAATCTCTCCAGAACAGTCATCCAGATTTGTGATGTCCTGAGCTACCGTGACACTATTCAGGTCACAAATGCAATGGAAAGATAATATCCTGTTCTCGAGACTCCTTAATTTATGGTCACACTTGAAATATCAAAGGCTTTAGGAGCTAATTCAGGATCACTGTATTTTGTTAACAACATCCTCTCGGGCTCATGCAGAGAATTGCCAGAGGAAAGCTTTCCCTAGGTAAAAGCCATTTCATCCCTAACTCTAAGAAAAAAAAAAACTTTAGGGGGTCAAAGATAATTTTGATAAGAGAAAACAAGAAGAACAGGCAGCACATAAGCTCCTAGGGTCATGCCCAGAATTATGCAGCAAACTATCCATCAGCCTGCCAAAGGTTGATTAAATTTTCCATGACTTTGCCACAAAGAGAACTTGTTTCTGGTAGAACCTGTTCCTTGAGAGGGGGTTGCACCTAGGCTCCCGGGGTCATGCCTAGAGTTATGCAGGGAACTATCCATAGGCTTTGCCAAAATGGGTCCGGTTCTCCAGTGTTAGAGACCAGCTTCTATACAAATATCGCGTATCAGGGTAGGGACATGGGAATTTGAAAGTTCGGTAAAGAGGACAAAGATGAGTGTAAAAACAGTAACTCAGAAAACACAGAGCAGTACCAGGAGGGCATTCCAATGAAAATTGAAATCACCTGCTTTTAATTTCCATTTGCTTAAAATACCCCAGACCCCAGAAGGGAGAAGATTAAAAAAAAAAAAACCTACATTAACATGATACAAGGAAATGAACAGACCAGTTGAGGGTTGTAGGCTACGTTCTTAGTTCAACCTTCTTTTACTAGAACAAGACAAGGAGCTTTCACACCCTAGACCAAAACATTCCTTAGGAAAACCATTCCTTCCCTGGGTGGAATCCATATCTCTTACCTGGAGTCGGAACTTAGTTGGATCCTTAGAACAGATATATTGCTCTATTCCTGAAATACAAATTCTGGATATTAGCCACACCTGTTGCAAATCAACTTGAGAAAGAGCAGAACTTTCTGAGCTAAATCTATGTGAAACCTTTGTTTGAGGCAGAAACAGAATAAAATTAAGTACCAACTTTCTGTCCTTTAGGGGTGGAATGGCAATAACTTGGAGCAAGATGAAACTCTCTGACCTTCAGAAAAGGTGGAAATAGGCTCAGATTTTAGGACATCCGCACTCCAGGGCCTAGCCACAAAAGAGAATTTGTCCATGCTATTCTCAGGCCTTGTCACCTGAAGAAGTCACATGGCTCCTGGTATCGCAGCAAGAAATTGAATAAGGCAGTATTTAAGAATAATGGGATGTAGCTTCCCACAGGGCAGGAAACCCTGACTGCCCTGGGGGACGGAGGGGAAGGAGGGGGGGAGTGGGGGGAGTGGGAGGGTGTTGGGAGGGGGGGCGGAAATGGAAACTTTTATAATTTAATAAAATTTACTAAAAAAAAAAGAATAATGGGATGTTATCTTAGATGGAATATAGAATCTTTTGGATGGTATTACTGATAACTTATTAAGGTGTTTATTAGCAATGAAACCAGTAATTTTTTTAGCAGAAAGTAATGAAAAGTCTGCTTTGTAGAGAAAGTCAGTACTTGGCAGTTTCAGAAGTCAGTTGTATGGTGAAACAGAGGTAGGAAATTTCAACATGTTTAGCACCATTGAAGAGAAGGCCCTTGCTCAGCACTGGATGCCTAGAAGGACTCCATCCAACTCAGTCTTCAGTGTATGTTAGGGATAGACAAAGAGATTCCTATTTCAAATAAACAACTTTATACTTAAACTCTTTGCACTCTGTTCCAGGCATGGCAGGGTCTGTTACAACAACGACCCAACATTTGGATGCATTATTGAGGTTGAATTGGTTCTGTGCACAAAAAATTACAAAATTTAAGGTCATGGATTCTTAGTTTGTGATTTTACTGCAGTACAATTATGGGCATCTGTGTTTGCCAAAAATGCAAATTTAGACCTTGTCTCCCTTGAAATAAATCAATCTAGAATATAAAAAGATAGATATACCTGCCTCTGCCTTCAAAGTGCTGGAATTAAAGGCATGAATCAATATACCCAGCATGTCTATTATTTTCCACTGTTAGTAATAGGTCATATAATTTCTCTGATATTTACTGAGTACTACATTTCTCTTGCAAGGTACATCCCATTGAAACATTGCAAAAATGACAGAGGTGAATTTCCTATTCAGTTTCCTTCTGTAGTGATGTGATGGTGACATTATAAGGTCCCTGTCATGAAGTAAGTGTGAGAAACACCAGCAATAGAAGACTAATCTATCAAATAAGTATACATTTACAATATTGTTGGTATCACACCTTTTGTTTTACACATGTATGGATATTTTAGAATACAGTGACCTATGATGATGTGCTTGTGAACTTCACTCAGGAAGAGTGGGCTTTGCTGGATCCTTCTCAGAAGAATCTCTACGAAGATGTGATGCTGGAGACCTTCAAGAACCTCACTACTCTTGGTAAAGTGTTAAATTTACTTCACATTTTGAAATCAGGGAACAAGTTTTTCTTTTTTATTGAGAGTTTTCTGTAATTTAAATTGAGAAAGAGGAAGAGTGTGGTGAATAAATCATGCATGGTTTTAAGGTTCATTGAAGATATTAACTTAAATTTTTCAAATTTCCCAATGATATATTATACATTTTCTGCTATTATATTTTAGGCTACAATTGGGAAGATTATGATATTGAAGAACATTCTCAAAGTTCTAGAAGACATGGCAGGTAATTTACATATGCATGCTGATATAAATGTGCCTCTGAGGAAAGTTTAGTGTGTTCTGGATTTTTAAAAGGAAGACAAAAATGTAAATAAGCACAGCTTAAAGTGTATTGATGATTATTAAATTCTCAAAAAGCCAAATACCTCCATGTAAGGTAGGAAACTTATGTTTGCAAGGAAATAAGAAAGAAGACAAGGGAAGATTGCCTCAACAGATATCACCATTTGAATCGCAGCTGAGTGTGAACTATGCTGTAGTACTGCCAATCTGTATAGTTTCATACCACTTGTATTACAATAGGTGTGCGTTTTGAACAGGTGATAAGTATCTGTCCAAAAACCTTCTAATAAGCAAATAGTACATAGGAAAGCTAGTGTGACTTATATACTGGTGATGAGTTTGCTGAGTTTATTGAGATGGACAGATAGAGTCAAGGGACAATTTTTGTGGAAAAACCATAATCCTCATAGCACATGTCTATGTGAATCAAATTCAAACTATCAAGATGCAGCGTGGAAATCATTTATTTGTTATTCTTCCTTTACTGTCACTCTGGATAGAAACCGTGTGAACATAAGGATATGGAAAGAAGTAACAGTATCTGTCTCTGAACAATTAGAAGATATGTGGTAGTCTCTATTTAGACGAGATTTAATGATTAAGATTCAACTTTACAAGTAATTGATTTTCCATCTTCATTGGAAATACATCAATAAACTAACACTGCAAAAAAGGCCTCATGAGTACTAAAGATTTGTAAACACTTCTATTTGTCATGATTTATTTTACAAATGTATTATGACTCACACTCTTGAACAATTTATGAATATTTATTTAATGCTCTGAGTGTTCCAGTTCTCTTCACATATGTGAAAAATCTAATATAGAAAAAGAGGCTATAAATATAAACCATGAAATGAAAGCTCTTACCATGAAAGACATCTTCAAAGATGAATATCAACTTTCAGTGAAGGGGAAAACATGAGTTTAAATGAAGTGATAAAAACTTTAGGTCCAATTCCTTTTTAAAATTAGACCAAGGCTACAAAACATCATTTTGAGTGAGGTAACCCAGATACAGAAAGACAAAATCACATGTACTCACTCATATGTGGTTTTTAAACATAAAGCAAGGAAAACCAGCCCACAAATCACAATCCCAAAGAACCTAGACAACAATAAGGACCCTAAGAGAGACATACATAGATCTAATCTACATGGGAAGTAGAAAAAGACAATATCTTCTGAGTGAATTTGGTACATGGGGACCTTGGGAGAGGGTTGAAGGGGAAGGGAGAGACAGGGAGGTGAGCAGAGAAAAATGTAGAGCTCAATAAAAATCAATAAAAAAGAAAAAAGGAAAATAATTAGACCAAGGCTCATTGACAACCACATGGTGATGGCTCATAACCATTTGTAATGATATTTGATGCCCTCTTATGGCATGGAAGTGTACAGGCAGGAGGATCATTATATACATACATATATGTATATTTAGACAACATGTAAAATTAATTTATACAGATATAAAGAGTTATCAGTATAATGAATGTGGTAGAGCTTTTACATGTGCCAAGTAACCTTCTGAATATAGTTAATGTGTTAAATCCTTTACATATTACAGTCATTTTGAAAAGCACGAGAGGATTCATTTTGAAGAGAAGACCTATGAAGATATTCAACATGATAAAGCCATTGCATGTCACAGTCAACTACGAGTTCATAAAAGAGCACATTCTAGACAAAAACCCTATGAATGTAATCAGTGTGGTAAAGCTTTCACACGTCCCAGTCATCTTCAAAAGCATAAAAGAACACATACTGGAGAGAAACCTTACAAGTGTCACCAGTGTTATAAAGCTTATGCATGTTATAGCACTCTTCAGGTGCATAAAAGAACGCATACTGGAGAGAAACCCTACAAGTGTGATCAGTGTGCTAAAGCCTTTACATATCACAGTCATCTTCACAGGCATAAAAGAACGCATACTGGTGAGAAACCCTATGAATGTAATCAATGTGGTAAAGCCTTTACATCTTGCAATTATCTTCAAAGGCATAAAAGTATACATACTGGTGAGAAACCCTATGAATGTAATCAGTGTCATAAAACCTTTTCACAACACAATTACCTTCAGAAGCATAATAGAATACATACTGGAGTGAAACCCTATGAATGTAATCAGTGTCATAAAGCCTTTGCACAGCACAGTTATCTTAAAATACATAAAAGAATACATACTGGAGAGAAATCCTATGAATGTAATCAGTGTCATAAAGCCTTTACACATTTGAGTAGTCTTCGCAGGCATAAAAGAATACACACTAAAGAGAAACTGTGATTGTAAATCAGTATTTTAGAGCTTTTTAACATCAGAATCTTCTCCAAATATATAAATGAAAGAGAAAGATTGTCAGTGTAATCATTATGATAAAGCCTTTACATGTCATAGTAGTCTTCTAAGGCATAAAAGAACACATACTGGAGAGAAACCCTATGAATCTGTTCAGTGTGGTAAAGTCTTTCCACAAAGCAGTCATCCTAAAGGCATAAAAGAACACACACTGGAGAGAAATCTGAAGAGTGTAATAAGTGTGTTAAAACCTTTGCAAGTCACAGTAATCTTTTGTCTTATATAAGAAAACATACTGGAGATAAAAGCTATGAATTTATTCATAATGTCTTTGCACATCACACTAATCTTCAAAAACAAAAGAACACATACTGGAAAGCAAACATATGAATGCGACCAATGTGGTAAAGCCTTTGCACATATCAGAAGTCTTCAAATTCATGAGAAAATATGCTGCAAAGAAACCCTATACGTATAGTCAGTGTGATTACTTATTTTTATTTCATGGTAGTTTTCTACAAGAATAAGCATTTAGTTCACAATCAATCTGTTAAAGCCTTTACATATTACAGTATTCTTTGAGGACGTGCAAAACCAATACTGAAGGGAGTCTAACTATAAAGGATTTGGCAAGATCTTCTGCCAACATACATTATTTTTATTTATTTTTTCTGAGATAGGTTTTCTCTGTAGCTTTGGGGCCGATCCTCGAACTAGCTCTTGTAGACCAGGTTGGCCCTGAACTCACAGAGATCTGCCTTCCTCTGCCTCCCAAGTGCTGGGATTAAAGTTGTGTGTGACCACCACCCGGCTGGCAACATAATTATTAAGGTACACAGGAGGGTTGATTCTGGAGAAAAAAAAATCTGACAATATCAACAATCTATCCAAGCATTGTTGTGTCCTTTACTTTGTTTGCACTGCAAACTGATATGAAGGAAACCCTTATAAATTTAAATAATCATATAACTATTTTAGATTTTGCAGTGCACTTCAGTTATATTAGATAACTAATTCAGCTATAAACATTTATGGATGTATATTTGTGCCTTTTCTTTTGTTGTGATATAACATGTTTTAATGATGTTGATGTTAAATTACTGAATAATAGAGAATATAAGAAACAGTAAATACCTCATGTGCATATTCAAAGTAGGATTTTCCTTTTATATGGTTGATATATAATAAAGTAGGATAATCAGCAATCAACTCTATATTTCATAACATAGCTTGATGTGCTATGTATATTTTTATCTGATTTAATGTTTCATTTTCTTCTTCATGTCCTGATTACTTATCTATTTGTTTCTTCATCTTGAAGTACTGCCTTCTAATCAGGTTATCCATGGATGCCAGATAATTTAACAGCAATAAGATTTATATTAAAAAATTCTTTTTTTATGTGTTTGTAATGGAATTCTGGATTTGTAGGACATGGCAGACAACTTTGTGGGATCTTCTTTTAGCTATCTTCATATGGTGATCGTGATCAGGTTCCAGTCTTGCACACCACAAACATTTCACACTGAGCCATTTCACTAATTTTCAAAGAAGATAAGTTGAACATTATCTCTTCTTTTTAAGTTGTTAATGTATTGTTGTTTAAGAATGGAGAAAAAGGATAATTTGAATAATAATTCCTGTTATGATTATACTGACATTCCCTGTCAGTAAGTAACCTGTCCCTTTAAGAGATAAGTTCTGTCCACTACCAGTCTCTCTGCCCATTGAGGCAAGCTCCCATTGGCCACCTTTTCCTCTCTCTTTCTGCCTTTTTTCTGAAGAGGAAGCTCTCGGCATCCTCCCCTTCTCTACTCTCTCCTTTCTGTCTGTTTCTATCTATTTATCTCCAATCCTCACTCATAGCCTTCCACTAGCGTCTTCCTAAATAAAACTTCATACTCCCCAAACACTCTGCATGACATATTCTGTTTTTTGCCCATGGTCCCTCACCCTCAGTGATACCTACCAAGGTCCCGTGTGGCTTAAATCTTTCAAATCTTATTTGCAAATGAAAATGATATACTATTGCGGTTTTTATTTTGATTGTGTTAATTTCTTTTAAGGACTGGATGTTTGTTTGTAAAACTTTTGCAGAACAAAAGTGAATGTCAGAGAATTGTCTCAGTAGCAAAATTCAGTTGCTGCTAAGTCTGATGACCTGAGTTCTATCTCTGAGAGACCCATATGTCTCTGGCAATTTTTCTCTTATTTCTGCACTTGGTCTGTGGCATATGCACAATCACACATCAAAACATAAATAAATAATCTTGAAACCCAAATAAGCACCATTAGGTCATGGGTAGCCAAACAACTCCCATGGTTTCATCTCTAGAACTCACATGGAGGAAGTAGATAATAGAAACCTCTAATTTCTCATCACTACCACAAAATCACAAAGGAACAGATGTATGCACTCAAACACAGTTCAAACATTTTAATGGATGAGATTAACAAAGCAAGTAGTGCAGTTATTGAAAATATAAGTAATGAATTGCAAATTCAAATTGTTACTATAGAATTTAAAAAATTACCATTAATCAAAACATTGATTGTTGATTTTTACATATTATTTTACCCCATATTCTCTGACTTATAGATAGAGCAATAAAAAGACATAGCTGGGTCTCATGCATGCTTATGATCCCAGGACATGGTAGACAGTGGGAGGACCAGCTCCCTGAGTTTGAGACCAACTGTGTCCACAAAGTGAGTTCCAGATTAGCCATGGCTAGGTGATGATGTCCTGTCTCAAAAAGTTTCTGAAAGGAAAAATCATATCTCAAATTATGGAACATTATCTACTATAATCTTACTAGGCTCTGACTTGTCTCAACAAGAACATTTGTTACCTTACTCACTTAAGAGAACATTGATAACAATGTCAATAAGGGGCCATCTGAAGAACCCATTCATAGAGAAGGAGAAAGCCATTGAATGCTGTATGTGGAGTCCACTTATTTATTTGCCAATCACACAGATTCCTGTAATGATCTCACAGAAATCTGTATTAATTGCAATACTGTTTGGCCAATAGCTTAAGTGTATTACTGACTAACTCTTATATGCTAAACTAACCCATCACCATTAATCTGTGCATTACCACAAGGTCATGGCCTGGTGGCAAAGTTCTGGCAGGCTCCAACACAGACAGCTGTCCCCAGAGGCTACATGACTTCTCCCTGACTCCACCTTCTTTCTCCTTGCATTCAGTTTAGTTTTCCTGTCTAGTTATATTTTGCTAAGCTACTGGCTGAAACAGATTTATTAATTAACCAATAAAAGCAGTACATAGACAGAAGGACTTCCCAGAGACCTCTTTGGGTCCAGACATAAGTCTGGGATCTCCAAGGGAGTAGGCCTGAGACTGGACCTTTGTGGTCTGGTCACACCCCAAGTCTTGGGCCTGCAAGGGAATAGACTAGAGCCTGAGACCTTTGCAGGCCCAAGCCTGAGCCAGGGAACTCCGCAGGAGTGGACACAGACCGGGGATATTTACAGAAACAGAACTGATCCCGCAACCTAGGCCAAAACAGTCCTGAGACCGCGAACTCCACAGAAGCAGGTACAAGGGAGCAACCACTGAGGGAATAGGCCAGAGCCAGAGACCTCTGAGGGTCCAGGCATGAGTCTGGAATCTCTGAGTTAGCAGGCCTGAGTTACGACCTCTGAGGGTCCAGGTATGAGTCTGGGACCTCCAAGAGAATAGGCAGCAACCAGAGACCACTACAGATCTGGAGCACAAATCCAGAACACCAAGGGAGAAGACCTGAGCCAGGACCTCTACCAAAGTAGGCCAAAAGCAGCAACCTCAGCCGAAAGTGCCCCAAGCAAGCAAATTCTTTGGGAGCAGACCTGAATCACTTCCTGGTATTGCCAAGCAAACAATGGGAGTGCCAGGTGACTTCCAGGAACATGGAGTGACCAACATGGTGACTGGAACAGTGGCCCTACTGTACCACAAGGAGCAGCCTTCTGAGCCATGGATCTACTGGCAGCTGGAAAATTGATCATAGCTCCAACTACACCAATCAAAGGAAAAGATGGGTAGACAAGGTAAGAGCACATGCAACGCCACAAAGAGCAGCACACACCATTAAAAACTAGTGACCATATAGCAGCAAGACTTGAACAGCTCAATATAGATGAAGCAGAAGAAAATGACATAAAAAGTAACTTTAGGAGAATGTTTGAAGCTCTTAAAGAGGAAATGGAAAATTCCCTCAAGACACATGAAGAAGACAAAAAAAAAAAAAATTGAAAGACATCAACAAATCCCTTAAAGAAAACCAAGAAAGAGCAATCAAACATGAAAGAAACTATTCATGACTTGAAAACTGAAATAGAGACAATAAAGAAAACACAAGCCAAGGGAATTATAGAAACAAAATCATGAGAAAGCAATCAGGAACCACAAATGCAAGCATAAACAGCAGAGTACAAGAGAGAAGACAGAAACCCAAGCATTGAAGATACAATAGAGGAAATATGCTAATCAGTCAAACATTAAATATAACAAAAGCTTAACACAAAATATCCTGGAAATATGGGACACCATGAAAAAACCAAATGTAATAGTAATAGGTATAGTAGAAGTTCAAACAAAAGCACAAAAATAAATTTAAAAAACTCAAAAAAGAAAATTTTCCCAATCTAAAAAATGGTATGTCAATGAAAATACAAATAACTTAGAGAACACCAAATAGACTGGATCAAAAAAAAATTCCCCTCGCCACGTAATAGTCAAAACAATAAACATACAAAATAAATAATATTAAGAGCTGCAAAGAAAACAGGAAAAGTAACATATAAAGACAGACCCATCAGAATTACACCTGACTTCTCAATAGAAACAACAAAAGCCAGAAGGTCCTGGTCAAGCATTATGCACACATTAAGAGAACATGGATGCCAGCTCAGACTACTATACCCCTCAAATCTTTCAGTCACCATAGATGGACAAAACAAGAAATTCCACAACAGAACCAGATTTAACCAATACCTAGCCACAAACCCAGCCCTATATAAAATACTAGATGAAAAACTCAAACCCAAGAAAGTTGGCTACATCAACAAAAACAGTGATAATTGTCAGCAAATCCCAAAGGTAGGTAAAAACACCCAAAATAACATAACCAACAGCAAAAACTAAATTAACAGGAGAAGCAATCACTGTTTTTTTCTTTTTTATTCATTAAAAATTTCTACCTCCTCCCATCCTCCCATTTCCCGCAATCACAGGTTTTTAATATCCCTTAATATAAATGGAATCAACTCACCTATAAAAAGACACAGGCTAACAAATTTGATAAGAAAACAATCCATTCTTCTGCTGCATGCAAGAAACAAACTTCAACCTCAAAGACATTTATGACCTCAGTAAAGGTTTGGGAAAAAATTTCCAATTAAATGGACATACAAAACAAAGAAGGACATTTCATATTTTCACAGGAAAAAACCAACAAGAAGAAATCTCAAACTGAACGTCTATATCCCAAATACAAGGATTCCCTCATATGTGCAAGAAACACTTCTAAAGCTAAACCACACATTAGTAGTGGGAGACTTCAACACTCCACTCTTGCCATGGGACTTGTATGTCAGACAAAAAATTAACAGAAATAAGGTAACTAACAAATGTTATGACTCAAATGGATTTAAGTCATAACATCTATAAAACATTTCATCCAAACATAAAATAGTATACC